ATCAAACTTGCACTGAAGCGGCTGTGGCCAGCTTGCGGTGCTGTGTCCTAACCCATTGTGCCTCTAGGGAGGGCCCGGAGAGTTGTAATTTTAAGGCAATACCAGGAAGACTTTTTGAAAAGGTCTTGATGAAGGGGAAGATACCTACTAGTTAAGATGGTAGTTAAGAGCATAGGCCTTGAGGTCAGATTTTGTTCAGAGTCCAACTTTACAACTTAACCACTTTCTTGTGACACAGTTTGTTAACATCATAAAAGGGAGTGATTACAGTCATGTCACCAAGAATCCTGGAAGAGAGAATTCTAGATCTCTATCCTTGGATTCCATCCTCTACAAATTAATTACTAAGTTGGCAAAAACTGCCAGACTCAGCTTGTACAAAACTTTGGAATCTAGTGAGGACTAAAAAAAACTGGGAGAAAACCTAATGAAAGACTGCTGCTGGAATCCATTACTCCAGCACTCTGGTGCTTTTAGATTGTGGTCATCCCCCATGTCACAGGTGGGAGAGGGAAGCAACCATTGTGGTCTCGGTGCAGGTTGCTAGGGCAAGAGCGGGGATGTGGATCTTATGCTCAGAGAAATGTGGTTGTGTGATTTGGCCTGTCTGGTTACTCCTTGTAGGACCTGTGCAAGGACTTGCCTTTGTTCTGCCAAACTCAGAGCATTCCCAGAACTGGGGTGGTTTCCTGGGTTGTGTTTGGTGAAAGCCCTTAAAGGTAAAAGTTGGCTGCCACATGACAGGGAAAGACTTGAGTTAGGGCAAGTGATGGGTAGATTTTAAAGGGAAGTGATTGGGGAAAGAGAAATGGGAGAAAAAAAGAGCTTTAAAAAACAAGAACACAAAAAACTTGTGCATGATGGGGAATTGAGAATTCCATGGGGACTAGAAGCATGCTTAGAAAAGGCGTTAGATAATGAGTTTTCACTTTTGACTGAACTTCAGGTTTTGCAAAAGCAATAAAGAATTTTGACTGAGATAGCTAAGCATTGAAGTATTGTCCCAATCTGGAAAGGCAAGGAGATTATGCCTTTCATTTTTTTGGTTTTTGTTCAAGGTGTTTAAGAAAATTATTGTCAAATTAACCAGTAAGCTAAAGGAACATAGACTCTAGTAGCTACATAGGACAAGTAATACAGACTTTGTTAAAAAGATTTTTTCTAAATGTTCAACATCACTCATAATAAGGGAGATGCAAATTAAAACCACAATGAGATACCACCTCAC